AAGACATATAACTGTTTAATATAAAATAGAATAATCCCATCTCCTAGACACCTGCCATATCTTCAGAAGGTAAAATAAACAAATTCCTAAACTCAAATTTCCTTTACCTAGTAGTCCTGCTGGTTTGCTAGCTTGCTAGATAGTTCCTTAAAGTACTAAAAGATCAACCTGTCCTTCTAAGGTAAAATAAAGCAAAAGAAATTCATAATGATGTTCCTTGGTAGAAGTTGTCCTTAGATAACATTATGCTTATAATTGTTAGGACCCCAAAAGATCTGCCCAAAGAAAATAACAAAAAGGTCAGAAACAGACATCTTCTGTTACAAAGGACATCCATAGGAGTTAGAAGATGCTGCAGGGCTCCTCCCTTCACCCCCTGTACTTTAACATCTTCAGCTACTGAAGAAGTAATACCAACTTAATTCATTCAGCTTTAAACACAGTGCTAAGAGAAACACAGAGAGTATCTGTATCTTGTTGGGTCATTACATTTAATATGGACTAATACTACACGTAGAAGTCAAAAGACAAATGAAAACCCGACAAATACAAATGTACACACACACACACAGACACACACACACAGCCTGTCTCACATCACAGCCAAAGTGCTAATCTCAAATATATAAAGAGCTCCTGGAAATCAACAATAAAAAGACTCAAAATCAAATTTAAAACGAGAAAAGGAGATGAACAGGTATGTCAAAAAAAAGACCCTTAAGCAGGGTAAAATAAGTTTAAAATCATTCACAAGGATAAAAATGCTAATTAAAGCTACAATGAGACTATTTCTTACCCAATAGCTATAGAGAAAGACAACATGATTAAGTGCCAATTAGATATTTTCCATAGAAAATTTTGCAATGTCTGCCAAAGTTATGGTTTCACTAGGGATAAATCTGTACAAAAACAATGCAAGTCCATGCCCTTGGAGGGCCTTTACTGAAAAAAGTCAATTAATGTGAATAATAAATGTATATTATAAAGGACTGTACAAAAAATAGACCACACAGTACACTGTAAATAATAAGGTAATTGTTGCACTTTCAAATGGAATCCTTAGTAATGTTAACTACTTGAGACATCACCTCACTAACATTAGAATAGGTATTTTCAGAAAGATAAGATACAGTAGAGTGTAGAGAATAGTATGGAGCAAAGAGAGCTCTAGCACCCTATGGAAATGTAGATTGGTATGTAGTTGTTAGGGAAAACAGTAAGAAGGATCCAATAAAAGTTGAAAATTGAACAAGTATCTATCTTCTGAATATATACCCTAAAGGAAATAAAACCACCCCCTCCTAAAGATGTCTGCATAACCACGATTA